GTTGAGGTGAAGCAAAAAGGGGTTGAAACCTTAAAAATGGCAAAGAATTTCCCCTCTACCAGCTGATAAACGCGTCATTAATGTGTAGTCTGCATTGTAACTGCCCGTATAGAATGTTACGAACATGGCGCGCTCGAGCTCATAATCTCGCAACATGTATAATTCTCTGATCCGCGCACTAGTTCACCTCGCGCCTGTCGCGACGTCACAACATCGCGAACCTCGTAACATCTTCGCATCCTCCTAACAACGTCCGATGTTGCGAGGTGTTCGCACCGCGTCAGGCTCGCATGCTGAGAGATACGGCACAGTGCGAGATAGCTGGATCTGGTGCAAGCCACGCTCGTCACATGTTGCGACCTTGATGTCGTAATATACAGGGGGTTTGCTACCGCCCCTGGAGTCAATCTACATGCTAACTACAAAAATCAAACTCATTCCTCATAATAAACCATTTCGCACGGTAAATCTAAATTTACCTAATTTTCCTTATTTCAGTAGATCATTTTGAACTCTATTGTACATCCACGTTAATTATTAATGTCTTATTTGGTGATCAAGACGCTTATAATCTGCATCTCATTAATCTCTAGACCACTTTTCAGACAAATCCCTGACTTTAACTACAGTAGCGCATACTTACTATAATCCGACAGTAAGGCCAGCGAAGAGTGAATATTTCGCAGTCAGCATACGATTACCCCACAAAGTAGTTTTACAGCAATTTTAAAGCTTCTTGCATTGTGAAAATATTATTTACCGGTTGAGCATTTTGATCATCTGCACGCATTCAATCACTTCTTGTTTAATTATATGTAATTAAACAAGCCAAGTAAATCGTTTTGTAAAAGAAGACTGCTTTTTTCGCACATATATATAAAATCTAGCCAAAACTCTTCCTGGATAATTTTGAGTTTAGAAAAAACCACACGTACTTATCCGACAGTTCATACTTTGACAGTATCGAGGACAGAAAAATCTACAGAGGCTTTGTCAAGTACTGTGCCAACATTGACAGAATCGAGGACAGAAAAATCTGCCGAGGCTTTGTCAAGTACTGCACCAACATCGGAGAAGATATTAGATAGGACATCTTCGTCTTTACTAATTTCTACAACAGAAATCACAACAGGTAGCCCACTTAAGATCTTGATTTGATGGGAAACCAAAGAACTTTTTGCTTTGCTTGCAGAAACAGAAAAGACAAGCATGAGTACCATCGCTATACCTAATGAGGTAAGAGCATATGATTGACATTATCTTTTTGGAAAAAACAGCTTTCATGGCTACCCGGTCTATCTTCGGGTGCATATGGTTCATCTGACCAAATTGGAAACCATGATATTTTTTATTTCTGCAAAAGAGCTCATGACCAAAGCTGCTTATTACAAGCTAGGAACTTTTGAAAGGAGCTCGGCGAGTAATGATTACATTGCTCTGACATAACTATTTCAATTTGAGCACAATGTGAATCAAACAAATTGAAAATGCGGGAATCAAAAAAACCAGTCAATGCAATGTCGTTTCACATCAAGGCAACCAAAGAATGACAGATTGTGACTTTTTGCGGCTTTCGACGATGGTCATACCTACATTCAAGGGCCCTTACCGTCACGATAACAGCAGATCCTTAATAATCGTTT